CTTCTGGGGATGGAGCAATGCAAAGACTCGCATTCATCTTTTCTACGACAAGTCCTGGGAATCCCTGCAGAATATCAGGATACGGAGTTGGAGAAGAACAAGTGAACAGAGTTTTATAGTAATCAACAATATGAGTCGAAATAGCCGCTGGTTGGCTAATCACATTGTCCAAATCATCCTTGATATTGATAATTATGTTCCTCTGCTTCCTTTGAATTGTGGTAGTATGGAAGAACTTAGTATTTCGGTCTCCACGTTGTAGCCAATTGACCCTCGACCTTTGGCTCCAAAAAAGCTCTTCATCTTTCCATATAGCACCCAATTCAACCATCATGTCCTTTTCCTCTTGAATAATCAAATTGTCTCTATCCATTTGAGTTATCTCAGCCAATCTTTTCTGGATGTTAGTGGCTCTAAGATTTTGGTCCTTGTATACTTGTTTAGCCCAACTCTTCAGCTCGGTCACACAGTTAGACAGTCGTTCATCACAAGTATTACCATTGTCCCAATTTCGACTATAAATTTCATGACATTCTTCCCTGTTGATCCATCTCTCATTAAATCTAAACGGGCATTGGCTGTTCTCCTTCACCCCTTTAAACTCCAGCCGAAGAGGGTAGTGGTCGGACTCAATAGGCAATTCATGAAACAAGACAGCCTCATTGTAAAGATTTTGCCAAGATGCAGTACAGAGTACCCTATCAATTCTGCTTTCAATTATGTCCTGGCCCTCTTTTTTATTGACCCAACTGAAGGCATGCCCTGTATAACCCAAATCAAGTAGACCATTATCATTAATAAAACTTCTGAAGGGGATGACATAGTCGTTTCTCGGTCTCCCGCCACCCTTCTTCTCCTCGTCAAACAAAACATTCATATCCCCTATAACAACCCATCTATCCTGTACAACACCCCTAAGGTTGCTAATACAATCCTAGAAAATTCTACGTTCCGCTGGAACTGATGGGGCGTGAACAAAAGTAATGAAAAAGCCACCATCAACATTAATAAAAGCATCAATAAAAAACCGATTGCTATCCAAAATCTGCAGATCGAGTCCTCCTTCCCACCATAAAGCAAGTCTGCCCGCTCTACCAATGGGTGACACATAGTGATGCTCCGCATATCTCAGTTTTCTTCTTTTCTTCTCCATATAAGAGTCCTTCTTTTTAGTCTCAAACAAGAACATGATAGATGGTCTGAACTGATTAACCATCTTTCGTAATTGTCGAACTGTAGGGGCTGGACCGAATCCCCTGCAGTTCCACGCGATTGCGTTCATGGCCCTTTTGATGGCTTGGACTCAGCCACCACATTCACAAAAGAACCTGGTCCGAAACCAAGAGGGATTTCCTCATTTTCTTCCTCTTCTTGTCCACTGCAAATGTCAAGCATTTCATTTGGGGACTCAAGGGATTGAAGTAGCAGAGCTTGTTCCTCTGCTTCTCCAGTTTCCAATTCAAACTAAGAGCCCGCCTTCCTCTTCTTCTTAGGAATGTTTGGGTTTTGGCTCTTCTTCTTATTACAATTCCCATTCCGAGCGGCTGATCTAGTTGGTTTTACAATGTTGCTTGGGCCAGCCTGGTAAAAATGATGGTTGAAGAGTAGTTGGATTGAGCTTGGTATGGGGGGTACGCCAATTCCTGGTTAGCAAAGAGGGGTTGGGGGTTAACCAGAAGATCAGTTTCTCCAAAGAGATTCCTAGAAATTCTCTCCGCTTGTGGTGTGGGGGATGCAGAATTTGGATTTTGAAAAAAAGCTGATGGGGGGATGTTGATAGGGTGAGATATGGAAATAGGGAGTGAGAGAGTCGTTGTGAGTGGGAAATTTTGAGCTGACACCAACCTCGGAGTCTGGATCTGTTGGTGTGGGAATCCCAACATCCTGAAGGCATTGTTGTCGACATTTTGATTCGCCGGTGACCCGTTAGATGGCGGAGATTGGAAGAGCTGGCTGGCTGGAGCGTTGGATGCTGAAGCGGCGTCTCGATTCAGGCTGGCTTCTACTTCCTGTTGTTGTGCCGATCTTGGAGAAATCACACTCGAGCTTGCGCGAATCCATGGCCCCCATCTCTGAATAATATGTGATGTTTGATCCCTCTGGTTGCATTCTTGTTTTGAGTGGTCGATCTTACCGCAGATGTAGCACAAGCTTGTGAGTTTTTCATACTTGAACTCAATAATGTCCTCTTTTGTTGATATCGCAGATAGAACCCCTCTGGAAGGGATTTAGAGATATCCACTTCCACAAAGACCCATACATACTTCCGATAGATTTGAGCTTGGAGCGCTGCCCTGTACAGGTCGATGATGCGATTGAACATGTTTTGAATCATGCTGATGTTGCCTTCTGTGCGATATGCTTCTGGGAGATTGTGGATTTGCATCCAGAAATCTGCTTCCTTGAAGTTGTCTCATTTGGGTTGTAACTCCCTGTCCACCTCTTCAGCTGCAATAGCGTGCCTGACATCGGACAAGGGCGTTCCTTCCATATAGCCTCCATCTCATCTTTTGTTTCGAAATCAATCACAAAGGTATTCACATCAACCTCCTTGATTCTGGGCCTCTCCTGTGTTCTCGGTTTGTAATTCTCCACCCAAGCTGATCGGATGATTCCTCTCATGATCCGTTCGCTGACTTGCCTTTCAGATAAAAGCTTGCCAATAAGGGTATTTCTAGTAGCAATCAAGCTTTCATCAGGAGCCATTTCCACGTCCCATTCCCCGGCTTGGTTGATCAGGGCATTGACATTCATCTTGTGTGGTAGTCTCTCGTGATCACTAGTATCTGGGGAGGAAAGTTTTCTCAGGCTTAGTTTTTTTTTTGGAAAGTTGAATGATGTTGTCTCTGCTTGTTGGCATCCTTCCGCCTTATAAGTTGTTCATTCCCTCTTGTTCTGGCTTCTCCATTAATGATTTGACGACGATTAAATGTTGTGTGTTGAACCACCCCTTTAATTCTTGCAGGAGGATTTTGGGGCTCAATGCAGTCCTTGAGTTGTCTTAATGGTGGCTTGAATAGACTTAAATCTGCCCACTCCAACGCTCTCTTTTCTCTCAGAGTCCTTAGTTGTTTCTTCTTTCGTATCTGAGACTGAATCTTCACTTCGTACTTCCCTTCACTAGCTGATAAATGCTTCTTGTTGTGGTGAATTAAGTAGATGGGATGTTTGTAGTTGAGTTGCAACATATACACAGGATGCTTGTAGTTGAGATGTAATAGGTTAACCGAGTGCTTGTACTTGTGTTGTAGTAAATGTTGGTAGGTTCTGCAATTCATCTTCATTAGCTGTTGCCAAAAAGGAGGCTAATCATCTCACTAACGGAGGATACTCTTCATCCAGGAAAGCTGGGAAAAGAAACACTGCTGACAGATAGGAAGTCTAGAGAGAAGTCAGAGCAAAAAAAGAGAAGAGAGGGGATTGATTTATTGGAACTCATAAGAAAGAGTTTGAAATGAAGGATCTAGTAAAAACAAAGTTTTGACTTGGATTGCAAATGGACACCTGAGCAATGGAATATACATACATCAAGAAGGGCATCTAACAAAAGTACCAAAACGATTCTATATGAATAAACCACATCCATTAAGCACACTATGATCATGAAATTACTCAATGTGAAAAAGGATCAATTTAGGCCTCGAGAAGCTAATGAGAAGATAATTGTAACACCTTAGGTGAATCCCACATCGACAAAGCACGGGAGAGATCCATGGTTCATAAGTAGGAAACCGACCTTAACTGACAAGACGCATTTTAGGGTGAAATGGAGGAGTTCTTGTGAGAACTCCGAAGTTAAACGTGCTCAGTGTGGAGTACAACAAGGATGGGTGTCCTTATGAGAAGTCACCTTGAATTGCACCCCAAGTCAAAAACCGTGTGGGTTAAGGCCCAAAGCAAACAATATCTTCGTCGGGAAAAGGTCCGGGATGTTACAATAATGATCCAGAAGTACCATATCTCAGTACGATTGGAGCACTAATGTATCTTGCTAATCATACAAGACTAGTCATATAATTTGTTGTTAACTTATTAGCAAGATTTTGTTCTTCCCCTACTCGAAGACATTGGAATTGCATAAAACATTTACTGCGGTATCTCGTGGAACAATGGATATGGATTTGTTCTATTCAAAATTACCCATAGACGACTGAGTGGCATACCAGATGCTGGATATTTGTCCGGTCCACATAATGGTCGATCACAAACTAGTTATTTGTTTACATGTGGAAATGCACTCATTTCATGTAGATCACAAAACAAACTATAACAGCCACTTCTAATCATGCAAAAATTATAGCAATACACGAGGCAAGTCGCGAATGTGTTTGCTTGAGATCCATAGTTGAAAACATCAAAGAGACTTGCGGTTTTTCTCCTTAAAAGATGATTTCGATCGTTATGTATGAGGATAATGTGGCATGTATCGCACAACTGAAAGAAGGATGTATCAAAGGGGACAGAACAAAACATATTTCGCCAAAACTTTTCCTCGATCATGATCTTTGGAAGAATGGTGAAATAAATGTACTCAATATTCATTCATGTGATAATCTTGTAGATTTGTTCACAAAGTCACTTACTACTTCAACATTTAAGAGCTAGTTTTCAAAATTAGTGTTTGACAACTCAAAGATCTTCAATGATTTCAAGGAAAGGGGGAGCAAATACGCATTGTACTCTTTTTCTCCTAACCACAATTTTATCCCACTGAATTTTCCTAATAAAGTTTTTAATGAGACCGATCTAAAAGCATATTAGACCGTAACTTTTTGAATCATAGACAATAAAAGGAGAGTGTTGTAGAACATATATGTGTGTGTTAATGTCCAATAGCCACCAATCCTTCCCCAACTGTTACCTTTTTTTTGACAATACCCAACTGTTACCTCACTGTCACATTTATGATAGTAATTGCATCCATGAAGTAATTCTGTCTATAAAAGGGAGACTCGTAGAGGAGGATAGGACCCACCAACAAAGACCATATAGCTCATATATTCTGAAATTATCACCCACCATTTGCAGTCCAAATTACAAGAGTAAGTTACTCTTCTTATTATCTTTGTTGTGTATTCTGGAGTAGCTATTTTGTAACAAAAACAAAAATAGTCAGACTTATTTTGTTCTTTACTGTCAAGCAATTCCAAACATCAAAACCCATAATACTAAACAGAACCGACAACATCAAATGCATGGATGCTGCTAAACATTTAGCGGTTAGATCTTTATCACTATAGCACCAACAGTATTCCCACGGCATTGCTGCGCGCAATTTGGCTACTTTTAGCAGTTAGAGAACAAGTCGTCTTCGTTTGTGTTAGCAAAAAGAAACGAGAGACTAGCTGAAATAGACATGGGAACCACGTTTGCGACAGATTCAAAAGTAACTGGATTCTCCGATCAGTAAATCAAACATATCATCCGGCGTTAAGATCGTCGTTCCACCAAGAATGAGTTGTACATCTGTCCTTTCACTTTTGGACAATGACTCCTGAGCCTCCAGGACCTAACATAACAGATAAAGAAAGCACGTCGTCACAATACTCTGTATCGGGCAAGAAGCCACAAATGAAATGGTGTGTATGCGAGCAAATTATGGTCTCTAGACGCATCACCCAGTAGAAAATCGAGAGCTGGGAACCATTGTGTTAAAGGAATAAATCAGAAATATGTAAATACCTCAACACCATTGATGCCCCCAACGACAAAGACCATGATGACCTTGTGCTCACCTAGGATTGGTTTTGCCTGCAACACCCAGAATTCAGTGATTGGTCAGTAATACTTGGCATTTGGGTGATCTCTTTGTTCTAATATGTCAATGGTTATGGTTTGTGAAAGACTTGCCTGCCCAACAAATCTTCCAAAGCTACTCTTGAACAGTCGACCGACAGTGGAGGAATGATACTCCATTCCTGGGATATCTACCTTTTTCAACACGCTAGTTAGAAGCTTGGATAATAACCCTTTGTTCAAATCCATCTCACCGCCAAAATCACTTCCTCCAGAGAATGCATCATCCTTCAATGGAACACTCCTCAGCATGGATAACTTATGAAGGAACTTAAAAAAGGTGTCCACCTTATCACGCAACTCCAGCTTCAGCTGCATGTCGTCGTACAACTGTTGTTTATTATTATTGTCAGCGGCTGCTTCTTCCTCATCACCCCACTTACCCCATTGGTCATCATCCAAATCATCAATGTCTAACTGATCTTCTGATGATTCAGCAGCATCACCGCATCTTTTTCTGCCAACGTTGGCCTCGAGCTCGTCCTTCAGAGCACCGAGGAACTTTATCTTTGAAACTGGTGCCTTCTCCAGAATCACATCCACAACAGCTTCTTTCAGGAAGTGCTCCTCTTGCCAAGAAAAGGGACCCCCAGACCCAGATGTAGGGAAATTCTCGCCAGCCAACATGTATCCAACAATCATGAGCAGTAAAGCATCTTGAAAAGAAATTAATCCTTGCGAGGATTGCATTTCTCTCTTCTTCGGATCACTCGCCTCAACTAAGCCACTCTTGTTAATAAGATCAACGATTTGAGCAGCCAGGTTCTGACTTGTGTCTTCAGCGCTTGCAGTTAGTACTTTCTCTGCACTGATAAATGCATCCCATCTAGTAGAAAACGACTCTTCAAAGGCAGCAGTTGCAGCAGCTGCCAACAGAATAAGTCCTTTGTTTCTCACAATTGCAGATTGGCTTTTTGCCAGTGCTTTCATCATGGACCGGACCTCAGATGAAACAAAGCTGGAACGAGTTGTAGAACCTACGTCTATTTTTTCACGACGCAGGGTTTGCTGCAGCCACCTTGTCACCAACAATGCTCCATCTTTTGTTCTTCTATCTAGTATGGCCTCCATAAATGCCGTGCCAAGAAAACTTTCAGTAGAGACAACGGATCCATTAAGCACTTGACCCACACAAGAAACAGATTTTTCATCCCGAAGTTTACTGCAGATATTACCCACATCAGCAATTGGAGGAGTAGATTTGTGGATATCCCAGCCATCTAAGAAAGCTTCAATTCTTTCTATGAGCTGAAAATCCCTAATTTCTTCATCTAATATTTCTGTGAGTGGTATCTTCACATCAAGAGGAGCACGTTGTAGGATTGGAGAATGAAGTTTGAGCTGGCTCTCTGAGTCTCTCATGTGAGAATGAGATACTCCTGCCCTACGGGGTAAAGCTGAGAACATCCGGTCAACAAGTGAGTCCCCATGGAAGCACGGAGTAAGGAGATCAAGAGTTCGATCAATTATCAATAACCCTGCTGGACGTTTCCCGCGGCCTACATCATAAAGACTTGACATGTCCGTCATAATCTTGCCTACTGTTTGTGACAAATCACCCATGGAAAAAATATCCAGTTTTAGATCCATCTACACAAAAGAAAGTATGGTAAATGTACAGTACAAAGACAACAAACTTTCACAGATAATCAAGCTAGATAAAGTTAAATGGCCAACAAGCACTGCTTGTTTGTCGGGGATTTTCATAATTTGCACCACCCCTGACACAAATTCTAATAATGCAGCAGTATGAACCTTGTGTCCAGATGCTTCCAACTACCAATATTATTCAAAATCACACATAAACCGTCACTCATTAGGGTAAAATAAAATAAAATAAGGGCAACGAAATCAGATAACTTTAATAAACAGGAAAGCTAAGCAGAAAACAAACAAGAAAAGATTACACAAAAAAGATTATTTAATCATGCTAGTCGCACCTTTGCAGCTAAATGGTAAAGGAAATGGGCAGTAAGAAGTGATCCTGGGGGAACATCATCGCTATTGGCAAGCGCGCCAGTACTGATGGGTGGTAGTCCAGGACTTATAGAATCTTCATGTTCAGCTGATAAAGAAGCTTCGGCAACTGATCCCTCAGATGGCAGTACAAAGACTCTACGAGATAAAGGACACAAAAGCATGGGGAAGTGATGTACGAAGACAACCAATCTCGGGCCTATACTTCCAATCTCTCTTCTGATTGAACTTTTATCAAGATGCATAGCATCCTCTTCATTGAATGAGAGTTGCGCCCATCCCTTATTCTCAAAGCTTAAACTTTCCTGGAGTTTCACACCTTCTGAATGTTCGTACTTCTTTCCACCTTTCTTCACAAGCTCCTCAAAATCTTGAAGAAGCAAGGATTCATACTCATGATAAGCATCCGGTCCCAGCGGTGAATCTGGATATGCTGAGTGAGATGTCTACAATTGCAAAAACTTTCAAGCATAAAGTTCTACGCAAAAAAAAAAAAAAAAAAAGTGATGCGTTTGAGGAAAAGGGCATTTATACAGTATTTTGCTCCATATGGTGTATTGAGCAAAGTAGTTCTTAATTCACACAAAAGTAAACAGTGTCAGTTTAAGAAACTAAATTACAACGGAATCCAAAGGCTGAATAATACACAGTTTATGCCATAGGTTATCCACCAGAAAAGTCCTATAAATTCCAGAACTTAATAAGGCAAGACTCAAATTTTGGTCACCATACTCATATCCACCTTGGCATTCAAACAAACAAAGCATCCTTAACTTAAAGTTTCCAGCAATAAGAATTTGTAGATGAAGCATGCTTGAATGAGATTCTAATCTGCTCCTGGGGTAGCCCCAACCTGACCAAATTATCTTTACCCCACAAGAATTAAGTGATTGCATAACTGTAATCTGTTTTCCTCTTCATCTAGGGTAAACCATTCCTTAAAACTAGCAAACCATTGTATAATTCTTTACAGGTTCGATTCAGTAATGTATTTTATTACACCTGTATACCATATGATCATATTAGCATATTCATCACCCATAATGCTACAGTTATGAGCAGGATTTTTCCTTGAGGATGTATGCAAGTCTCTTTCAATACTCCCCTCATATTCGCATTAAGAACCTAAACTTTGGCTAAGTAACGAAAAAAATTAGCTCTTTTCTGAATGTTGTCCCCTGGAGGTATCCAGTAGCACATGTTGTATATATTTACACACAGATACATCAAAACTCATGTGCATCGGAGTCGCAAAATTAAAGAAACCTCATTGTTGGAAACTCCTCGTAGTATTGCAACAAAATTAATATTATCCATTCTCTGATGTAGCATAAGATATGTCTCATACCAATACCAGGTGCATTGAAAAAGAGAGAAAAAGGTATAGGCCACAAGTTCATAAGTATCAGAGAGTAACATCAATTAGAATATAGGAACAGGCCACATTTGCATATGAAAAGAGGAAGCAATTCATAAGTACCAGAAGGTAACAGCAATAAGTACCTCTGGTATAGAAGTACAGATTGTACACTTCTGAACACTATCATGGATGCTCAGGCAACGTAAAATATACCGATGTGCATCGCTGAGGAAGCGAGATGTGAAAACCACAATCTTCGTCGCAACATCATCATTCGAGTTCCAACTAACCACCTAGAGAGAGAAACTACATAAATAATCAATTCTCAGGCTCAGATCAAACATGAGGTAAACCATAGAAGACACGAAAATTGTAAGGCTGAGACATACAGATAGCATAAAAGATGAAAAAGCGCCACAACATATGAATCCCACATAAAATTTCAAGTTCCTTGCTTTTTGGGTGCTTGCATTAACACAGTCATCAAAATGGGCAAGAACTATCGACACAAGAAGCATCTACAGTTGTTCTTTAAGAGATAACAATGCTTATATCCATTATTTTACTTATAGAAGAATCCTCTTGACATTCCTAAATGACATTACACCCAACATGCAATAATTAACATTTTATGCACACGCGAGCATGCCTACTTATGTGATGGCGTATATATATAGAGAGAGACATATAGATAACTATTATGTGTCCATATTTGTGCGCAAATACAGATATTCATCCCATGAAAAAATATAGATGTTCAAACATCCAGAATTTCAAGTCATGCCTCCCTGTTCCTTATAAAGCCAATAAATATGTAAATGCTTAGACAGGTACAGACAAGAGGAAGCATTAAGATGAATATGGGAAACCCAGCTATCATGAACTCACCGCATCAAGAGAAGACATATTTTCAAGGCTGCATACAGCTCGAACTCCAAGGTCGAGAAACACGGGAAATGCACCAGCAAATTGAAAGCTCTCTGTGCATCCGGAATCCAGATAAATAATGGCACCCTCCAAATGTTCAGCCATCTTGAGACACAGGAGAGAGAAAAAGGAATTAAGCAAAGAGAAATGATGAAGTCCTGCGTTGATGTCTAAAGACATACCCTATTTCCCTAGTCCATTAAGAAAGTGGGCTAGTGAGGTGGAAATGTCATCAGAGAAAGCATTCCATGGAGGGCGTGTAGATAGATTACTGTACTGTTAAGGTAGTGTGCATAGCTATGAAGAACATTGATCATCACAGCACAGCATCAGATTGACATCTTGCATAAACAATCCAAAAAAATCACCTAATCTCATAGCTATAACATTGCATAGAATCTTCAAAGCAACTTTTTCTTGGAAGCAATCTTCAACCACATCCTGCATAATTAATGATCATTGCAGAAGTAACACTCCGATATCCGTCCTCAAAAGCTAACACGGGTAAGAGCTAGGTGATAATCAATTTCCGTACTAGCAGATCAAATGGTTGCCGCTTTTATCTCTTTTTAATGGCATGTCGAATAGTTTTCTTTTGGTGACCTAGTCTATGATAAACATACGAAGCACTAGGATGATTTCCATTTAATTCACAGCCATGGCGGCAATACGATTGCAGCTCCATCCTTTAACAAAGCCAACAATCAATGATAAGCAATTGCAGCTTACTTTCACTCCTGAACTTCACGGGCGAAAGAAAGGAATGCGAAATAGTAAACGCACTTACCTGGGTGATGGAATCAAGGCATGATTTGGTCACATCAATCAAGACCGCCATTGTCTGCAGCAGCTCTCTTGGATCCAAACAAAGTAAGCTGATATCACGGAGACAATCTCTGCCAAATTTACAATCCCCGCGCAGCAAACCAGTCAGGCCTACTCAGCAAGTCTGCATCCATCAAATTTCAAAGCAACTCCAGAAAGTTACAGCGTCGAGAGAGGGAAGATAGCGAAGAGAAAACGGCAGCCGAGAATTTACCCTTTGTTTCCAATCGCCGATCAAGCGTCGAATCCGACTGCAGGCTCGACCACGGAATGATGCACGAGCTAACCCGACCCGAGACAAAAACATTGCATTTAATTTGTTGGAAAAAATCCCAATGTACACACCTTCTTAAAAAAATTCCCAAAATACATAAGTTATAAAAAAATTTCCCAAAGTACACATGTTTGCCATTCACCGTTTTTGTCAAACGCAGTGAAGATGATCACCACTTTTGACAAAGATATACTTCACCGTTTTTCACTAAAACGGTGAAGTGTTCACCGTCTCCGATTAACACGGTGAAAAGTTCACCGCGTTTGAAAACAACGGTGAATACATCACCGTTTTAGTTTAAAACGATGAATATATTCACCGTTGTAGGTTAACGCGGTGATATTTTCCCACGTTTCCCACCCCTGGTAGGTCAAATTTAGGTCACAGCTACCAACTATTCACCGTTTGAGACAAACGCGGTGATGGTGTTCACCGTGTTCGACAAAAACGGTGAATAGTAGGCAGATTTTCCTATAAATAGCACACCACCAGCAGTTGTAAAAACATAACCACTCCCCTTTCTTCAAATTTCAGCAACCAAAATCGAGCATAGTACACAGAACAGAAATTTTTCGGTATGTTGAGACTTTTCGTATTATAGTCTAATTATGTTTTTAGTAGTTATAGTATGATTTAATTTTCGTATTATGTTGTTGTTAGTTAGTTGAATTTATGTTCGTTAGTTATAGTATGATTTAATTTTCGTATTATGTTGTTGTTAGTTAGTTGAATTTATGTTCGTTAGTTATGAGATGGATAATATTAGTTGTACAATATGATTTTGGTTAATTTTACTGTCTTTAAGCTAATAGATACTTATTGTAAATTGTAGATATGGTTAAATTCAAGAAGTTTCATCTTACTATTCGGTGGAATGGAAGGGTGACAAACTCTGACATAGGCATTGATTATGAGGACGGCGATTCCATTATGCTGAAAATTGATTCCCGATTCAATTTTCAAGAACTCTGTGATATTTGTGCAGACAGGGTTTGTACGAGCGGACAGACGAGACTTGGCAAAATTACTTACCGGTATCCAGACATGAGTGCTGGCGGGGTCGTGTTCCAAGAAGTTGTCATAAACGATGATGACGCGGTTACGATGATGTTACAGTTCCTAAGCGATAACCAAATCCGGCTTGCAGAGGTGTATGTTGAGACCGAGGCGGTCGGTGAATCTCATTCTCACCAGTATTCTTATGATGATGGTTTTGCAGGAGGGTACGGATGGGGTGGTAGTTCGAGCAACTACGAAGGCGGTGGTGGTTCAATCAACTACGGTGGAGGTAGTAGTGCAGGATGGGTGCCATCGGAAGAATACTCGCAACCTCCTCAACCAGCCCCATTTGTTGAGGCTGATGGTGTTCAATGGCCTGCTTGGGGGCCAGAGTGGTCTGAAATCGAGAATACCATTCGATCGGGGCGTACTTCACATGAGCGAGAAGACAATGTTGGTGATCGTGGTCATGTTGATCCTTCTGGCCCGAGCTATCCATTCGAGTCGAGCGACGAGGATACTGAGGAAGATTTGAGATCAGTGAGCGAGGAGGAGGAAGATACTGATGATAACGAGGATGAGGCGGCATTTCGTGAGGCACCCACGGCATATTACACACAGGTTCCAACTCATTTTTTACATAGTCAGAATGATCCCCCCGACTTTGTCCCTATGCCAGTGTACAATCCGACGGCCAATTTGGAGGTGGGTATGGCGTTCACATCGAAAGACGCTGTGCAGGATGCTTTTACAGAAGAGGCGTTGAGGCGCAATTTCGAGTGGAAGGTAAAATATTCTAACAGTAAACAACTACATGTCATATGCAAGCATGATGCAGAGGGTTGTACGTGGCAACTGCGGGCTGCAAATATGAAGAGAAAGGGTGCTTGGGTGATTCGCAAAGCTGAGACGATCCACACATGCCCCTCTTCTATACTTTCCCAAGATCACAGGCAATTAAAAGCAAAGAAAGTTGGGAGAACTATTAAGCACCTTATAGAAGCACAACCAGATATCAAGGTGAAAGCTATCATGGCAAAGGTGAAGGATCGACATTCTTACACGATAAGGTACAAAAAAGCATGGCATGGAAAGCAGAAAGCCATGGCTGAGGTGTATGGTGATTGGGAGGATTCGTATGCTTTACTCCCTAGACTTATGGGAGCAATGGAGGAGTCCAATCCTGGGACTGTTTTCGTCCCAGTATACAACAATGTTTACACTGAGGATCAAGTTCGAGTACAGGAGAAGCTGATGTTCCATCGTCTTTTTTGGGCTTTTAAACCATGCATTGACGGTTTTGGGTTCTGCATACCGGTTATTAAGGTATTTTACCAACTGGTTCCGGTTTTAAATGTTGTATTATTTTCTATTACGTATATTTCATACTAATTAGATCCTAAATTTTTATTAAGGTTGACGGAACTTTCCTTACTGGGAAGTACAGAGGATGTCTTCTAATTGCCACTGGCGTTGATGGAAACAGGCGGATTTTCCCGCTTGCATTTGCATTAGTGGAAGGGGAGAACAGCTTAAGTTGGGCATGGTTCTTTGACCAACTACACGAACACGTGACACAGCGGGAAGATATTACGATTATATCCGATCGACATGCCGGGATTAGGAATGCTGTTGGTGGTTTTCCCGACGAGTGGGGATGGAGATGGCGATGGTGTATTCGACACTGGCTCGCCAATTTCCAGCAGAAATTTGGGAAGAAGAAAGACATCAAAAATCAACTTTGGAATGCAGGTACTAATGTTTATCTTATGCGATTTAAGTTTGTGTTTATTAAGCTGATGTTATTCATCATGTATTGACCAGTTTCGATTTTGTTCACCTTTCAGCGGTTGCACATCAACCAAAAAAGTACGAGCAGAAGATGAAAATGATCCGTCAGACCCACCGAGCTGGAGCAGTATGGGCTGAAGGTCAAGAGTTGCTCATGTGGACGTTCCATATGGACAACGGGGCCAGATGGGGCATTGCAACTACCAACCATGGTGAAAGTATAAATAATGTGTACAAGGGTCTTCGAGCGATGCCTATTTCTGTCATCGTGGAGATGTCTTACTGGAAGGTCAACGAGTGGCGAGTTGCTCGGCTACAGCAAGATATAGGGAGGGAGTTGCAAGGTCATTCGATAGCACATGACGTATTCGTTCACAGAAGAACGATGAAAAATCAAGTAAGCATAAGGTTGTTCTTTTTAACCGTAGTGAAGGAATATTCGCTGTTGAAACAGGTATATGGGATGGAGGGAGACGTGGTCACAATCGTCAAACGGTTAAATTGCACTACGAATTAGGGGAGTGTTCTTGTCAAAAGTATCAGAACGAAAGGATACCCTGTTCACATGCAATGGCGGTTGCTAAGTCAATAACCATGAACAACAGCCTGGTCAGTCCTTACTACACTGAACAAGCGATACGGAACCCATATAATGCAGCTTTGAGCCCCATGCCAGATGAAGCGTATTGGCCTATATACGCTGGAAAGTTGATTATCCCACCGTTGCACCTAAAACGCACCAAAGGCCGTCCTAGAGTTGAAAGGATACACAATGAGATGGATCAAGTTGAACGGACGAGAAGGGGACCAAAGCGATGCTCTAAGTGCAGACAACCTGGTCATGACAAGAGGTGTTGCCCAGGACAACCACTATCTTAATTTGCATTTACTTTATCCTGCTACTAAATTGATCGCTTGTTTAAATTTTCATTACCGCTTGCATTTGAATTACAAGTTTAATTCACGGATCTCGTCAAAATTTTATAGAATTCCAGGTATTTTGTTAACTCTAAAATGTTCTCCTTCTCGATACGATCGCGCTGCCGCAAACGGCTCGTTATTTCGACCTCAAACGAATAAGATACGCGCGTTTTAACGACATGTGCAGCTTTGAACTCACTTATCTCACTCGTTTGGACTCGGAATTGAGATCTGTAAAATTCTATGTGATCGTGGTTGATTTTCCCAACTTTTTCGTGTTGAGGGAAGATACTGATTCTTGATAAAATGATCCAGAATATTCATTCGACAACTTAAGTGCGTAGGATAGTTTTTAGACAATGCAAACTCAAATAACAACACCTAAAAATGTCAAAAACAACATGGATAGTTCACTACAATGATAAACACGATAAATTCACTCATTGGCTTCATTTTGGCCCCCATCTCTACCTCTTCCTCCTCGTCCTCCACGACGTTCTCGACCCCTTCTTCCCCCCTCTGCCGCTGCTTCTTGGCGGGCTCGCTCAACGGCTGGTCGCGGATTTCTCTTGACCCGAGCCCCAACTGGGTTTACATATGGTGGGTGGTGGTGGCTGAGATGGACCGGTAGTTTGACGGTGGATCGGGGGGTGCGGAGTTTGTTGCTGCGGGGTCTGATACATCGAACTCTGTTGCTGATGTTGGAATTGAGAGAACCCATGAGAGAAAGTGTCCCATTCCTGAGATGGACCGTGACTCGATGACCCTCCACCGGCATCCGCTGCAGGTGCCCACTGGTACTCGAAGGGTTCAGGGAGTTCGGTTGCTTGAGTTGTACGCACCTCTTCGAACGTAGGAAGAGGCCTGCGTTTGCTCCTTCGTGGGGGCTCAACAGGGGGGCACAATGGGTGCATCATCACGGAATGAGGGTCGTGCCGGGGCAGGAACGGGAGGATAGGCCTCGACATCCCTCCTTTGCTCTCTGGTACAACTCAGAAGGTTGTTCATAAGTCGGGCCAACCAAGTAGTCTTCCGCTCATCCATGGTTGGAGCACTTTCGAGAGTGTACTTGGCGTGTTCCAAACCATCAACCTTAGGAAAGCACAAAATATATCAAATTAACTAAATAAACCTTAAAATAAATTTATTTTAAAATGAGGGAGTTTAGGATGACGTACCAACGAACTCATCACAGCACCTTGCTTTGACACCCATCTCATGGTGAACTTCCGATACCACTGCATGTACCCATCGTGGTAGCCCATCGGTCTCGTCTCCGGCATCCCTTGCACCACCCATTGGGATCGATTCTCCCATATG